CCAGCTGAAATAACTATTGATTGTACATCTCACGTTGTTGATATTACATCCGATACGAAGAGCATTCCAATTGAACGTGCATTGCCTAATTATCAATGTTTGCTTTTGGATAGTTGGTTACAATGTGTTGGCGCCTCACAAGAAGGTGAATTATACGTAGGAGGTGTAGGTGTTTTTGCTGGTTATCTAGGACGTGACGATTTGACAGCAAGAACACTTATTATGATAGATGGTGAAATATTCTATCGAACAGGTGATCTTGTTCGAATGGATAGCGCTGGGCTTCTTCATTATCGAGGAAGAAAAGATTATCAAATCAAGCTACATGGACAACGTATTGAACTTGGAGAAATCGAACGATGTTTACTTAATACATCAATTTCTGCTTGTGTTGTCATCAAATGGAATGATGATCATGTGGTTGCTTATGTTCAAAGCTCTGATGTTGATGTAGAACAACTACGCCACCATTGTCAATGTCATCTTCCACCTTATATGATTCCATCTATATTTATCGTTTTGGAGAAACTACCTTTGAATGCAAATGGAAAAGCAGATCGAAAACGTCTTCCAGCACCTCAATTTTCGTCGTTGACGAATATCGATCAAACTGATGTAATTCCATTGACACCACTGGAAGAACATCTACAACGCATATTCAGTGAGGCATTTCACAATGAATCACCAAACGTAAATATGCTGTTTGGACAATTGGGTGGTACATCACTCGATGTCATACGAGCACTCATGCTCATTCAACAAGAAATATGTACAAAGGTTGATGTTGGCCTCTTATTGGCCAACCAATCGATTCGACAGCTTGCACGAGTCATTGAACCATTACTTGTCACATATGATGATTCTTCTGTTACAACTTCTGCTTTACAATTGCTTCAAGAAAATCAAGATCGATCAATGCCATAATAAATCTTTTATAAGCAAGACTATCAGAATGAAATCAACAATTGATTTCTATTTTATTTGAATACTTTTAATTTTCATCATTATACAATAGAGTATATGATAATTATGAAAATTTTGTCTTTATCTTGGATTTTCGGTCTTTTTTGCATGACCTTCTTCAAAACGATAATAATAAATATATAAAGAATAAATTCATTTGGACCTGTACCGCAACCGATAACACCAACAATAACACTAATAACCTAAATCACCAACCCCGGCATTAACATTAATTGTATCTCTAAATAGAAAAAATTATAATACCCTGTTAACAGTTGCTTTGAAAATACATACAAATGATAAGCAAAGCATGCATTTTGATAAACATAATAAATCTTTGTTGAGTAACACTATATAGATCGTGTTATAATAAAAATAAAAAAAATTTCAAATAAAATAGAAATCAATTGTTAATGTCATTCTGATAGTGTTGCTCATAAAAGATTTATTATGTTTATCAAAATTTATGTTTTCTGATCAATGCAATCTTTGTGCATTGAAGTATTAGCATTATGGTACTAATATTAGGGGTGGTACTTTACTTTTACTTTATAAAATAAAGATAAATGAATCCTTTACTCTTAAAAAATAAAGATAAATGAATCCTTTATTTTTAAAAAATAAAGTTAAATAAATAAAGGAATACTTTATTTTTAAAAAATAAAAGTAAAATAAAGGAATAAATGATACTTTTTACGATGACAGATAATGTAATTGGAAGAGCACTAGAATCATGAAATAAAACTGCAGAGAAATTATTACGATTTAAAAATGTAAATTTGATTTAAAATACGTTTCCTAAGATGAAATTCAAAAATAACAGAAATGAAAGCTTTATTTCTGATTTTTTAGGGTACTAAGAAAGAGAAAACGCTTCTTGTAACATTCTAATGTAATCTAAAGCATTCTATATATTGAGATATCTTTGTGAAGCTTCATTTCAGAATCATAGAATGTCTCCATCGGATCGATTATTACTCAATCTTCATATTTCTAAATAGAATTCCTTCATAATTTTGAATCTCACTTCTAATTATCCACAACCTTGCCCAATACACTCTGTATTTTGCTATCTTCCGCAAAAAAGTTGGTCAATAGAAGTTGTAGAACGATTATTTGCAAATAAGTATCAAATAGATGGTTTTATTTTCACGAGGAGCAATTCTTTTTTTCCAGTTACTAGAAAATATTCTAATGATACATACACAGACATAAGAAAGACACAAAATAAGGAAACAAAAAGAAAAACCAGAATATAACACACACATAACCTGTAATGAACATAGTTTTTTGTATGATTTAATTCCAAGTGTATCTGCATATAAAAAAGCTTCTTTTGGCAGGCACTATTTGCCATTCATATATCTATTTTCTATAGTATATCGCAATGCAAATTTAACATGATAATTTGGATAGAAGGTAGACTACACTGGAAGAAAATAAGGTGCCATACCGAACTTGTATAGTTCGGTGGTATTTTATCATACTTTTAGAGGTATTCTACGGACCTCCGAAACCTCATGTAGGTTTAGTAGAAGAAAAGGTTTGACACGATAACGTTAAAAGGTTCTGAAATAAAAAAGATTTCGTATCATGCCTTCATGGAAGTTCAAATTGAAAAAGGTTTCGTATGAACCTCTTTCAGGTTTCGTATCATACCATATTAATGTTGGAATGCAAAACAGTTTCATGTGAAACTCTTCCTTACTTCACTGACTATCTCATCGGAATATCGCCAGCGAGCCATTATAAATTAGTGATCATACTTAAATGGTACATATGGCTGTGCATTCTAAGAAACAATGACACATTAAAGCGATTCTCGATCGTTTTGGGTCACTCTCTACTAAAATCAATCAAAAATCAAGTGATCTTCATAAGTTGTGTAGTACATTTAGATATCATGATCTTGTTCATTAAACTGACAATATGAACAAATAAACCGGATATTGTTTAGCGAGTACTTTGGCTGCTGTTATCTTTCCTGTGAGTTGTCTTTTTATCACGAAATATATCTAAAATTTTGATTTTTTTGTGATAATTTGTTAGTTTTAACTCTTACAATCCGTCTGAAGTATTATTATAAATTTAACAACATTTATTATAGTTTAGTTGCAACAGAACTAAATATGAAAAGGGTGTAAGTGTGAGTGTGGGCATCATTTGCCTTTATTACATACATCCACACCCCCAAACCAGTGTTCAATCGTTCCACTTAAGTTTCGGTTATAAAACATTTATATGAAAACTTCAAACAACTAAATTACCAATGTCTCCTTCTTTTTTTCGTTCGAATTCTCAATGATTAGTGTAAAAATACACTTCAATATTCAAAATGATGCTTCTTCCACACAATGTAACTTATTCTGAGGAAGGCTTTTCGAATAAAGTATTTAGTTCAGTAAAAATATGAAACTGAAACCCTTTTTCAGATTTTCCAACAGCACAGTCCAAAATATAGTCTTATCTTTAAAATTATCGCCTTAATTTTTCTATTGCAGACTGTTCATACCAAATATTTGTATAAACAAAAATTTTAAATTATTATCATTGATCTCTTTCACATGGTCCCCACTAAAGCATTTCCAAGGTCATGTTTTCTCTAATCTCATCATTTCTATTTTCCTGCTATAGGCTATTCAATGTAGATATTTACTTCAAGTTACTCCTAATATTACAACTTTTTCTTCTTTCTAATTGCTCAAATGAACAACATATCAAGTAATTTCATCCGTACAACTAATGTTTTTTTTCTGTTGTAGATTATTGAACTCAAATATTAATTTGAAGCTAAATTTAACATTACAAATGTTTTTGTTCGCTTAGCTAATCGAAATAAACATTATATAAGGTAACTCGATCATTAAAAAATATCATTTGTATTTTTCTATTATAGATTATTCAATTAAAATATTTACTTGAAAATTAAATGTAACACTGAAAATATTTCTTTTCGTGCAAGTGGCTTAAGTGAGCGTTATATCAGGTAATTCTATCATTAAAATTATTATTTTCTTTTTCTGTTTTAGATTATTGAATTAAGATGTTTATTTGAAACTACATTTAACACTATAAACGCTTCATTTCCTCGAAGTGGTCAATGTTCAAAGCATTCAAGGCAGTTTTATCATAAAAATCATCATTTTTGTTTTTATACTGTAGATTACTCAATTAAAATATGTATTTTAAGTTACATTTAACACTTTAAACGATTGTTTGCGGTCAGCTGGTCCAACAGAACGCAATATGAGGTAGTTTCATCATAAAAATTATCATATATATTTTTCTCTTATAGATTATTCGACTAAAATATTTATTTGAAGTTAAATTTAACATTATAAATGTTTCTGTTCGCTTAACCAGTTGAACTGATAATTCAGATATTTATTTGAAACTGCATTTAGCATTGAAAATGCTTGTTCTGGTTCAAGTGGTCCAAGTGAACAAAATATAAGATAGTTTTATCATAAAAATTATCATATTTACTGTTCTCTTGTAGATTATCTAATTAAAACTTTTATTTGAAGTTACGTTTAACTCTCAAAATATTTTTTTTTCATTGAACAAATCCAAGTGAGCATTATATAAAGTAATTTTATCATTAAAACCACCAATATCCTTTTCTCTTTTGAATTATTGAATTTAGATATTTATTTCAAGCTACATTTGACGGGGAAAACAATTCTTTTGGTCAAGTGGTGAAAGTGAACAAAATGTAAAGTAGTTTTATCATAAAACTTATCGTATTTATTTTTCTATTGCTGATTATTCAATTGAAATACTTAGTTCGAGGTACACTTAACACAAAAAATGTTTCTTTTTATTCTAGTCATCCAAATTAAGATTAGATATGGCAAATCTATCGAAAAATATCATTTTATTTTTCTATTGCAGACTATTTAGTTAGTATTCTTCTTTGACATTACATTCAAGACTAACAATATTTCTGCTCATTCAGTTGGTGGAAATGAACATTATACAAACTGACTGCATGGTTAAAATTATCATTTTCTTTTTCCATTTTAGATTACTGAATTAAAATTTTTATTTGAAGCTACATTTAACACTGAAAATATATTTGTCGTTCAAGTGGTAGAAGTGTACAAAATGTAAGGTCGTTTTACCCTGAAAGTTATTATTTACATTTTTTTGTAGATTATTTAATTGTAGGATTTACCTAAAATTAAATGGAATAAAAAGAAAATATTGGTTTTTCTTCAAGTGATACAAATGTACATTATATAAAGTCATCCTATAATTAAAATTATCATTTCTATTCTTCTATTTTAGATTATTTAATTAAAGTATTTTTTTGAAGTTAAATGTAGGAATAAAATTGTTTGACTTCGTTCAAATGGTTGAGGTAAACATTATAGAAAGTACCTATATTCTTAAAGTTATGAGTTTTCTTCTTTTTTAGATTCTTTATTTAAAATATTTGTCTGAAGCTAAGTTTACGATTATTAATGTTTATTATTGTTAAATTCGTTCAAGTGAATATTATAGAAGATGATTCTATCATTAAAATTATGATTTTTATTTTTCTATTGTAGATTACTTAATCAAAATATTTATTTTCAGTCACATCTAACGCTCAAAATGTGTTTTTTTTGTTGAACTGGCTGAAGTGAACATAATATAAGGTGATTCTACGGCTGAAATCGTCATTTTTTTGTTTCTGCTTTAGATTATTGAATTGCGATATCTATTTATAGCTAAAGTTAACATTACAAATGCTTTTGTTCGTTCAAGTGTATGAAATGAACATTATATAAGGTATTTACATCATTAAAATTATCATTTCTATTTTTCTATTGTAGATTATTGAATTGAAATATCTCTGTCAATGTGAGTATCGCAACTGACTTCTGTTTTATTTTAGATTATTGGGAAGAACACTCTGGTTATCGCAAAGCTTTACTAGTAGCTGGGGATCGCGGTGGATTTGTTGAAATATGAGTATTCGTAGATTTATGTATATCTGAAGAAGCGAATTTCTTCTACTTAAAATATTTCAATTAGGCCTTCAGTCTCTTAGTTGGTTATGTCGAAACTGAATTTGTGAACGTGAAGCCTAGCAGATGGAAGGAACACGCAGAATTTTTACCCTACGCTAATCGAAGAGATTTTAGTGGAATTATATTGAATATCGGATAGTATGAAAAGGTTTCTGATGAGACTCATAACTATAGTCTCATAGCTTTAGGAAGCAGTGCCTATGAAATGTGTGCTATGAGACCCCTGCTGCGAACCTCGTTTTTGGTTTTCTGAAATTAGTTTCGTACCGAACCAGTTTTATACGAAACTTAAAAAGGTTTAGAATTCGTTTCAAAATTCGAAACCTTTTTAAGTTCGGTACGGTACCTTTTCTTCTTTCAGTGTACGATAACCGTTTAGACTTGTTTATTTCAGTTTCATTGTATATTATTCTCATCAAATTATATAGAGAAATGTTTAACCAGATACCCTAATTTTTTAGCTAGTGCATGAGTTAGTTTCCCTTGATTACCTTTAGTTTGAATTGGATATTTTTTTCACAGTTTAGGAACAAAATTTCAGTAAATCATATGAAGAAACAACAAAATAGAAACCCAACGGATATATAATAAGTAAGTATGTGGATTGGAGTGTGTAAGTGTGCATTTGAATCTGAGGGTAGGAAACCGTCACACTTGTACTCCACACTCTACCTACATCCTTACTTTTTCGTATGTTCAACAAAATATTTCTTCTTTCTTCGTATATTTATTCAAGGTCTTTTCTTTTAATATGTAGACTATCACAATCACTAGTAAGTTACTGGTATTTTTAGTTCAACTAACCAACAGGAATTTCTCATACAACAGTCAATAATTGGAATTTTTGTAATGCAATCAACGAAAAGTATATCCTCGAAATTAAGCTTGTGAAAAGCATTTATTAGCTTACTGTTAAAATAAGAAATCATATACTTTTTTTGCAACATTGATTAATGATTATGAGTGAGTCTCGGTTTTATTCTTGCTACGCTGACACTTAATTTTTCATTTAAAATGAAAAAAAAATACAGATAAAATTTGGATTTTCACACAGATTTCAAGACAGTCACGTATAGTTGTTTTTAGCAAATACTGCATCAAGCAGTTCAAATTTATTCTAATGAAGTTATCGAGTAGATGATTTTGAAAAAATAACAGATGATCACACTTTGTATGAGAGACCAGAGGGCAAAAGTCAAGGAAAACGACATTAATAATACATTTGAATAGTTTCTTGCTCATATTAAAGCTGCCATTTGTGAGGATCTGTTGATACGGTTAAATAGATCGTTTTCTACTAGTGTGACAACAATTGTGAGCATAGACCATTTTCCTCTTATAAAAGATCTCTAAAGTTTACATATCCTTAACAAAATTAGTGAACATTACTGACTTACAAAGCATTAGTTTTATTTTCTCATATTCATCTGTAGATTGTTTATTCGAAAGATGTTTCATTTCACGAAAAGCACTATCCAAATCGTGTCACTTTAGCTAAGTTACTTCTGCTCTTTGATTCATATCACCTTAATGATCTGACTTACGTTTTGTACTGTTACTGCAAGTGCAACATCAAACTTTTTCTTTGAAACGGAAGCGCTGCAATTGAAGTTTATGATGAGTGTGTCAATGATTGTTAAAAACTGGTTCGTATTTGTTTCTTCCAGTGAACGTCTTCAAGTGCACGATCACGTTTTCTTCCATCAGCTACATACTCACACTCCTTTTCAAACACAGAAAGAGTCATGACACTATGCACCCTTCTCACGTTCATAACGCCAATATTTACAGCAAATCCCAACTCCCGAGTTCCAAAAGCTAGATTCTTATCCTCAACCAACTAAATGCGACAAGAATTAGATGGCGAAACTATGTGACTGACTAAATTTTCGGGATAGAGAGGGCTTAATTTAAATAGCTTCTTGGAAATCTCAGAAATACATACGTACTTGTCCGTTCACACAAGCAAGCAGACATGCCACGAAACATACAAAACTTATGCTATTGCTTATAATTCTTTCTGAGGTTAAGTGTATATAGAGTATATTGGGCAAGATTGTGGATAATTAGAAGTGAGATTCAAAATTATGAAGGAATTCTATTTAGAAATATGAAGATTCAGAGATAATCGATCCGATGAAGACATTATATGATTCTGAAGTAAAGCTTCACAACGATGTGTGAATTCATATAAAGGTTTAGATCACATTAGAATATTACAAGAAGCTTTTCCTCTTTCTTAGTATCCTAAAAAATCAGAGATAAAGCTTTCATTTCTGTTATTTTTGAATTTCATCTTAGGAAACGTATTTTAAATCAAATTTACATTTTTAAATCGTAATAATTTCTCTGCAGTTTTATTTCATGATTCTAGTGCTCTTCCAATTACATTATCTGTCATCGTAAAAAGTATCATTTATTCCTTTATTTTACTTTTATTTTTTAAAAATAAATGATTCATTTGCATTTATTTTTTAAAAATAAAGTATTCCTTTATTTATTTAACTTTATTTTTTAAAAATAAAGGATTCATTTATCTTTATTTTTTTAAGAGTAAATGATTTATTTATCTTTATCCTTTATTATAAAGGAAAGTAAAGATAATGAGCCACCCTTAACTAATATATCAATGATTGCCCGTCATAGGACTGGCCTTTCAATCTAGTCCTATAATCATGCTTCTTCTTGTCCATGTTTTTCACCTTTCCTCATGTGTTATTTGTCAGCGTTTGGTGTTGCAGCTAGGAGAAATTACAAACACAGTAGAAAAATTATATTCATGGCATTATTACCGTTGGTGGTTTTTGAACAGTTTATGATCGACTAATAATTCTTATTGGTTAAAGCATTTATTAGGTACACCATTTTATAATTCCTATCTTCGATTATGTGGTGCCAAAATAGGATGTCATACACATATATACACTACATTGATTGATGCTCCTTGGTTGCTTCAAGTGGAAGAATCATCATTTATTGGTGAAGAAGTTGTACTTTCAAGTTTATCATATCAGGATCAAACCTATCAACTTCATCGAATTCGTATTGGATCACACTGTTCAATCAATACACATAGTGTACTCTATGAAGATGTAATAATAGAAGATCATGTTTATGTAAAACCAATGTCTGCTATCACAGGAGTCATTACAACATCAAAAGACAAAACATTTATCAAAGATCGATCATTATCATTGATTCACACTATGTATCAATCCACTTGTCTACTATGTCTTCTCTTTATTCATGGAATAATTCTTCTCTTAGTTTATGGTGTCTATTCTTGTTGTTCAACATTGTTATTACCATTACCTATCAGTCTTGCTTTAGCATGGTTGATCTGGACACTGACAAGCTTTTGTATTGCCTTAGCTTTATTGAAGTTTGTTGTAGGACGTGCTACATCAGGATACTATTCAATCAATTCTTACGGTTACTTGCACAAATTATGGTTACGTCAATTGATTATAACATCATTTCATCAAGCATTAGATTTTTTACCATCATACGATGTTATTTCATCCTACATTTTACGATGGTTAGGTGCTCATATCGAAGGCAATGTCAAATTCGCTGAATTTCAACAAATATTACGTTTTCCATCAAATCTTCTCAACATCGAAGGTAATGTGACGACATTTGGTGGAGCTAATCTTGCTTCATTCAAAATGACGAAACAAGGGCTTTGTTTCCTTGATGAAATACATCTAGGCTCGAATGCAAATCTTGGCAATTGGTGTACCATTATGCCAGCTACAAGACTTCCTCCTAAAGTAATCGTTGGAAGCCTTACATTGATTACACAAAAAACATTTAGTGCCGAAGGTAATTGTGTATTACTCGGTATTCCAGCTCGTGATATGCCATTTGTAATGCCTGATGATACATCTATTGTAAATGATTTATCATCTTCAAACTCCATATCAATTTATACTCTATTGCTTATCTGTCTCAGTTTCTTTATAAGCAAGTGTCTATTCATTACTTTATATTCATCATTACCAGTTACTGCTGCACTATTTATTCATGCAATTCTTTCTTGTGCAGTCTACCACTATTCGATCTTATTTACAAAAAAACGCTCACATTTCACATATTCAGAGATTATTACTCGCCAAAAACACTTTCTTCGTAGGTTGTTAAACGACTTTTCTATTTTTGTCGGAAGATATCTATCAGAAACACAATTTCTTGTTTTTCTTTTTCGTATACTTGGTGCTCAAATCGCATCTGATGTTATTCTGCCTGATATTCGTTGTCTCACTGATCCTCATCTTGTTAATATTGGTGATCATGTTCGTCTGAATAGGAATGCTGTCGTACAAGTAACACACAATTCTATTATATTTTGTTTATGTTATTCTTTCTATTTCTTTTTTCAGGCTCATACATTCGAACAGCGTATATTGAAACTAGCACCAATTACTATAGACGATTCTACTGTGCTGATGAGTAATACGTTAATACTTCCTGGAGCAACACTCCAAGGACAAAATCGCATCTTGCCATGGACACTTGTGATGAAGAATGATCAACTGCCACCTAATACAAATTGGTCTGGTGTACCTGCTAAACAAGTTATATAAACTTTTTCTGATGAACTTTCAAATGACATTTTTTTCATTATTTCATATTTTACTGTAGTATAGGTTTCTTTTTAATTTAATATCTTAATAAGAAGCATAATATCGCGTTTGAATTCTATTCTTCATAGGAAATTGAACAAAATAATCATTATGTTGAAAATATTTAAGAGAGATTTTATGATTCGATCGAAAAAGTTAATTTTATGGTCGAAATTAACATATATTTTTGTTTCTTCAATCAATTTTCAACATCAAACTGAGGTTTGAAAAAATTTTTAGGTTTCTATGTTTTGATTTGACAGAGTTATAGGAATTAGAACAGGGAGCGAATCTGAATCAGTTTCATCACTTTGCATTGTTTTGCCGTTATCTCCGTTATTTTTCGTTCGCTCAGACCGGACAACATCTCATTCAAAAGAGCATGTAAAACTGAACAACAAACCACTTATTACTCCTTTAAAAAGTCGAACCTTGACATAGCAAAGATTTTTCTTGTAAAAGGCTTCGCATTTTTTAAACCAAGCTTTTTTCCCATTGTACGTCCTTTTTTAATATAATAAAGGATTGGGGAGTAATTTTAATATAGTGTACCTTGTAGAGCATTTTGTGCTCTAGAAAATCCTTATAGGAGATTTTGAAAAAGTTTGAACAAGAGCCAAAAAAGATGGGAGAACACAATTCCATAACTCAAATTTGTGCCTTTTTTTGGGCGTTACTTAGGAGATTTCGATTAGAAAAATAACAATTAAATTACAACTAATATCATATTCTAAATCTGGATCAAAAACTGAGTCGACCTGTAGTGTTTCAGATATTTTTGAGATATTTGTTTTTCATTGAAAAATTCATCTCTACTCTTCTCAGGGTTTGACCAAAAACTGAACTTCGCCAAAACGCTATTTTCATGATTTAGACACGTAGCAGTTTGTGCTCTACTAACACTTTACAGCCTTAGAGCTTGTTTGTTCCTATCAGAATAATGTTTTCATGCAGTACATTTTTTGGTCGAACCCTGAGGGAAGTAGGAGTGAATTTTTCGATGAAAAGGGTGGGTGTGGATGTGGGTGTAGATGTGGGTGTGAGTCTTCTCAATGAACACCCACACCCTCACAATGATATTCACATTAGGTTCTAAGCTATTCTAGCTAATTTTGTCCTTTTCACTTTCATGATAATATGCCCAAATCATTACATAGCCTCGAACTACATTCTCTGCTACAGATTTATCTTCGACATAGACAATCTTATCATTCTGAACAATATAATTTGATGATTGAAAAGGTGTGGATGAGGACATGAACCACACACCCACACCCACCCTTAATTTCTTACGAATATTACTCAACATCAGTCATT